GGACCATGCGCAATGGCTCATGCCTGTAATCTCAGCACTTTGGGAGGCCAAGGAGGATGGATCACTTGAGGTCAGGAGTTCAAGACCAGCCTGGCCAAAATGGCGAAACCCCATCTCTACTAAAAATACAAAAATTCGCCAGGCGTGGTAGTGGACACCTGTAATCCCAGCTACTGGGGAGGCTGAGGCAGGAGAACTGCTTGAACCCAGAGGGCGGAGGTTGCAGTAAGCCAAGAGCACACCACCACTCTCCAGCCTGGGAGACAAAGAGAGATTCCGTTTCAAAAAATAAATAAAATAAAATAAAATAAAACAAATTAATAAAAATAAAAAACCTTGGAAGTGAAGACTTAAAAACTGTGTGGTTACTTGCGATGTAAAAATCAGAATATCTATATATATAGAGAGAGAGAGTCAGATTTTTCTGCTGAAAATCTCTTCCCTGTACAAAGATGGAACTGACTACTCCAATATTTTATGGTGTTCCAAAAACAGCACTGCAATGTACAGATTCTTTGACACCTGCACAAAAATATTTTATTCACGCAATTATGTCCCCCTTTCTAAAATGTGAGCACCATGAGAGCAGAGCCTTGCCTAATTTTTTTAATGCATAGCAGGCACTCAACATTTGTTGAATGAAGGTATAAATGACCATCCATGAATCTCTCAGCCCTGAGACTAGGGACAGACAAACCAGGGCTGGAGTTCACTTTCTTTGTTCTCTCTTTTCTCCTACCATACTTTCACATGCCAGGGTTCTGACAAACTGTTCAGTTTCTGGTGTCATTGACATGCAATCATGAAAATAGCGTCCATCTATTACCTACATATCAGATACGTTTTAGATATTCTTCCAGTCTAGACCATCCCTTTTCTAATGTATAGAACACTGCAAACTAAGTGTTCAGAACACCACTTTCAAGATGACAAAACAGGTTCAGAGGACTGAGTGACTTGCCTAAGGTCCCAAGAGCCAGGTAGAACCCAGGCTTTTTCTTTTAAACTAGGCTGCCTCCAGGTTTATACGCAAATCGATTAAATAAACATTTTATTATTGGAGTCCTCATTCTGTAAACCTGAGAGTTATTGGAAGTATCAAAGGAATGTTCCAATCTTGATTGCTGAGGTAAATGGTACAATGGCATGAATTAAACCTACTTTCAGATCTCTGTCCTTTGGTTTTTACCTTCATTCATGTCTTTACAAGATATAAATATAAGATATTATGCTTCCCTCATGTTCTTTGTTCTTTTCTTGTATTAAAGAAACACAAAGATATTTATAGACACTAGTGGTCTGTTGTGTAAGAACCAAATTAAACTCAAATTGTACATCTTGAACATATTAAACGTATTAAAACTGATCAATTGTGTGCACTGAGGACTGCACTTTGCTCAGAAGGGCTGAGCTCTGTTGGCAAACGGACTTACAAAGTAGGCATGTTTCCTCTTTCCTCAGACATTTATGGAAATAATAATAATAGCTAAATTAACAGGACAAAGGTGAAGCTAATTTTTCATAGTTCACAAAAGGGTTCCCTCTTTGCCCCGATAGATAGTTTATCTATGGAAAAGAAAAGATGAAAATAAGTTAGTGGTGAATCAAAATTTTTCTTGCTAGAAAACTAACTGGCCAAAAAAAAAAAAAA